GACCGCGCCGCAGCGCCGATGCATCGGCAACTTCGGCGATGCAGCGACGCCCTCGGCGTGGAGAAATTCGGGCCTCACATCGAGCCGCATCGCCGAGGCATCAGCGATGCGGCACAATCCTCCGACCTCATCTACTCGGACCCCACTTGACTTGGGGGAGGCCGGGACCCCTGTGGGAAAGGCCCGCATTGTCCGGCCGCCAATGCGCTCGGTGTACAGACGCCTCCGCTTCCCAAGCTGCGACTCCGAGGCTCCGTGTCCCTGGCAGACGGAACGACGTGAACACCTCGAGCCCCTCCCACGAGGGCCGTGGAGGAGGCGCTGGCCATCGCTCGGACGTCCATTCCCTGTGTTTTTTTCGGTTTCGTGCGTGGTTTCTTCGGCAAATGATCAAGGATGCTCCTCGATGGTCCTCGCCGAGAAACAAATTCACACGTCCGAGCGATGCCAGGGGCGTGGCGGCGGCGGGCGGAGAAGAAGCCACCCCGCGGGCGTCTGGAGCACACGCGCCCGTGCGCTCTTCAGGCCGCCGGCTGGTATCACCAGGCCCAGGTGCACGGCCATCCGCCGGGAGTTTCCCAGGTGCGGCTTCTCGGAGGAGGGCCCGCCGAGAGGCAACGGCGGGCCTCGCCACCCCCCACGCCGCTCCAGACGGGTCCCAAGAACCCCTCTCCCGGGGAGCTCTGCTCCGACCCCGTCTCGAGGCGGGTCCAGCCGTCTTCGGGAGGCACAAGGCGGACGAGAAACGCCAGGCCCAGACATCCGACGATATATTTAGGTCGGGCATGTCCTCCTTGGAAGAAAAATGAAGCATGATCCAAAACGAACCAACAGCAACCAAACATGGTCAAGAAATCCCCCCGAGACTATTTTTAGCCTATGTTGGACTCTTCCTTCCGTAGAGGGACATGCCCGACTGAACGATCTGTGATCCTGTCCGTGCGCGGCCCCAGAAGTCCCGACCAGTTCCCTCGGGATGACTTCTCTAGAGACCTCCTAGATGGGGTCGGAGTAAAGTCAAAAACCCTAATAAGGACACGCGGTAAGGAAGCAAGACTCTTGGAAGCCGAAGTTCGGATTTTTGGGGCGGCGGACGACGAAAACCCCAAGGGTACCCTGACAAGCGGGCAAGCGAAAGAGGCCAAGGACGAGCCGCAAGAGCAAGGAAGAGCAAGGACGCAAGGGTACCCTGAGCAAAGTCGCGCGTCCTTCTTAGGGTTTTTGACTGTAGATGGGGTTGGAGGATCGCGCCGCATCGCCGATGCATCGGCGATGCGTCAGCGATGCATCGGCGATGCATCGGCGATGCACCAGCGATGCATCGTCGACGGGGGCGATGCATCGGCGACGTCGACGTTAAAGCAAATCGGGCCCCACATCGAGCCGCATCGCCGATGCATCGGCGATGCTGCGCGATCCTCCGACCCCATCTCTACTCGGACCCCATCTGGGAGGCCTAGACGCTTCTCGTCCCCGAGATCCACTCCTGATGGTCCCCGGGGCCCTGCTCGCAAGCCCCGCAGGCTGAGCTCGAGGAAGAGACCGCTCGGCTCGGAAAAACAACAGCTCGTCGGGGACGCGTGCACGAGAACAGAGGCTCGTGATGTCTTCCTCTCCTCCTCCTCCTCTCCTCCTCCTCCTCCTCCTCCCTCCTCCTCCTCCTCCTCCTCCCCCCTCCGCCTCTCGACAGATCCCCTTTCTCTCCTCCTACTCCTCCTCCGCCTCCTCCTCTCCTCCTCCCCCTCTCCTCCTTCCTCCTCCTTCCTCCTCCTCCTCCTCCTCCTCCTCCTCCGTCTCCTCCTCCTCCTCCTCCTCCTCTCTCCTCCTCCTCCTCCTCCTCCTCCTCCCCCCTCCTCTCCCCCCTCCTCCCCTCCTCCGCCTCCTCTGGGTGGCGCCTCCTCCTCCTCCCTCCTCCCTCCCCCCCCGCCTCCCTTGACAACCCAACCAGATGCGCCGCCGACCCCTATGATAGGGGATCCGTGCGATCGTTGCCGAGGCGACGCGCTGTAGGCTGGCGCTTGGTTTTCTTGCCTGCGGAGACCTGGGTATGAGAACGAGCTCTATTCACACCGACGCTTTTTCTGGCCCTGCACTGAGACTTGCACAGGAGAGCGGGTCCTGGTGCATACGGGATCCTGGTGTATACATCCTTCGCCGTGTCC